TGATTTGAAATTCTGAAGTTTTTATTTGGAAACACTAACTTATGAGTAATGCTTTGATTAGAAGATTGATAACCGATTTCTTTGAGTGAAACATCTGACGATATTATATGGCGTTTAATTCTACGTTTTCCTACGAAATTATTGCTTCTGAAATTACAGAAAGGTTCCTCAACTGCTGGTCGGAAAACTTGTCTTTTATCTTCAAAACCTAAGGATTTCATCAAATCTTTCATATATTGATTTTTCTGTACAGGATCGTTTGAACTAGGTAATATATAAGGAAGATGCCAGTTCTTGTCGTTTTTGTACTGATATAAAGTTTCGTCCACAAATTTTGCTTTCTGGGTCTCGTACTGATGCATAACATAATTATGTTCTCTCTCATGTATATTTTGGCTCCATCGTTGAGGATAGTGCAGTTTATCGCGTAAACGTGGGTAGTTAGAAAATCTTCCATTCATTATTTGAAAATTTTTAAGATTTTCATAATGCAGTGATTCGTCGAAACGGGGGTAGAGAGGAAATCTTTTATTAATTTTGTAAAACTTTTCAAGATCTTTACGCTCTTTAAAATAATTCATGTTATTAAATGGATCCCATTTATAATTTATATATGGATGTCGTAGGTGGTTGATGTAACTGGAATAGCTCTCGTCCCACAGCTTCAGATGTAGATTGGGAATATGCATCGTATGCTTTAATTGGTTTCGATTCCAAGCATGCATCGCTAGTTCGCTTTGATTGGGAATTTCTAGATCTGCAGATTTATATGCATTTCTTGCCATTACAGGCTTTTGATGCATCGCTTCAGCAGAGGTTAAAGTCTGAAGAATCTTTTTCAGAGAGACTTTACTTGGCAGAAAACAATTCAATGTATCGCTTAAACGTGGATAGCTAAAAAATCTTTGATTTATTCTGTAAAACTTTTCAAAATTTTCATAATCTTTAAAATATTTTACATTATTAAATGGATTCCACTGATAATTTATGTTTGGATACCTTAGGTGATTTATGTAACTGGAATAGTTGTCCTTCCAGAATTTAAGATCCAAATTGGGAATATGCATCTCATGCCTCATTTGGTTTTGATTCCAAGCATTCATCGTTAGTTCTCTTTCTCTGGGAAGCTCTAGATCTATAAGTTGGTTTCTTGCTGGACCAAACTTTTGATACATCGCTTCAGAAGAGATTAAAGTCTGAAGAATCTTTTCCTGGGAGACTTTATTTGATAGCGGAAAATTCCCAAAGTTTCGATTTAGAGTTTTCCAGGATTCATCCACTGGTCTTTTCTGGTACGCATTTTTATTATTACTAGGAATAAATGCGTTAGTTTGCTTCATATAGTGTGATTTCATAACCTGGTTCATATTCTGCCTATTTGGTTGATATTGATTCATTGTTTGATCTTTACGCAAGGAAGTCTTCGGATTCCAAGCATCCAGGAAAGCTTCATGAATAGCTTTATTTTGCAGTTGGAAAGATTTACTTACGTCATCTAAGTGTACTTCTAAATTTGTTTCGGAATCTGAATGTGTGGTTCCTATCACATTTTTGTTTCTGAGATGTTTATCTTTTGCGAATGTTTGATACTGTTTTATTCGTATTTTCTCAGTATGGCTGAGGTCTGTTGTTATTTTTCGGTTATGTCTGCTAACACTTCCTGAATTCTGGAAAGGATTCCTCTGAACCTTATGGTACTGACGAATTCCACAGCCTTTAAAGAATATAAAAGATTAATTATATAGTAAAAAAGGAATACACATAAATTGTGCAAAATGTGTTTTAAAACACTAAAGCCTTTCGTCATTGCTTTTGTTATTCATTAATCCCCCCCCATAGCACAGAATATCCTCAAGATGTTCTATTTAAGTCGCAATTATCCTGGGACATACTTATTATTTCCTGAGTATGTTGGTTCTCAGATCTCCTGTGGACATGATAATTTAACATTTTGAGTATGTCTTGTAAGTTGATGTGTCCGAAGATATGTGAGAATGTCTGAAACATATTGATTCTGAAACGTCCTGAGGACTTCGTCAATTTCACATCCTGAGGATATAAATATAGCATTTTCCGGAGGAATTTAATTGTCAAACATTCCGAGGATATTTGACATTTGTTCTCAATTCTACCAATTTTAAGTTTTCGGCGTTGCACATCTGAAAGCATGCGCATTCTTTCATTTTCATACGTATTTTGGTAAGTGTTCTTTCTAAATGTTGTTCAATAAAAATATTGATATCCAGGTTATTCTTGTTATTTCGCTATTAATTTTAACTGCCATTTTTTCTGGCATTTTTAAAAAATTATGTAGGCATGGGGAAGATATTTCCACTGGATAATCAGTTTCTAGACTAAATTTTCAAAATTGTATAAGTTAATATGTTAATAAGAATTTACTAAATTGTAAATAACATATATTTTTATTTTCAAAATTATATTACTTGTGTAAGTACTTGCAGATTACAAACGTTACTATCAATATAGGCAAAATTAGAAAGTCAATTTTTTTTCTCTTTCTTTTTTAGCCCAAAGGGGCATTTGCCCAGAAGGGCTATTAATTTCGTTTGGCATTTTGCGTTGATTCACTTTAAACTACTTTTTTAATATATACTTTACTTTTTAAATTGTTGTTACCAAATAGTAGAGCCCTGTATTATACTTAAATTAAATAATGAAGAACCTGAATAAATGTATGTATGTTTCTCGCATTGTGATAAAATAATGGTGCCTAGAGCCATCAAATTTTGAATAACGTACGTCTCCAACCGAATATGGGCATTTGGAAGCCCTAATTTAGAATTTGAAATTTCTTTTATTATCTACTTCATATTTTGTAAAGCATTTATGAGTTTTTGATTAAGAAACTCAACGATTTCAAAGCGAGCAATGGCACCACTGTAAGGGAAAAAATCATTGTATCTCCAACGCACGAGACTGCGTATCGAAAATTCTAAAGATATGCTCTTCTAAATATTTTGTGTGATATTGCTGTCGAATTGAATTTATGGTTTAAATATTTACTAAATAAAGGTAACACGAAACGTTAAAAAAACGCCTTTATGGGTGTAATATAAAACCTAAAAGCTTTCATATTTTTTTTTTTTTTTTTTGTCTTTTAAATTTAATTTGTTATTAACAAGCTAAGCTATTTAAAAGCAATACATGCAATTCTTAAAAATATTATTTCTTTACCTTTTAATTGATTTAAATAAAAATGCATTTAATTCACGATATATCTAGCATTAAAGATTTTTAAATAATTACGTGGTATATTTCTTCACTTTTCAAATATGCAAAAGATATATAAGTTTCGCATGTTAGTTAGTATCCTATAAAATGTTCTCTATATCCCTGGGCCATCTGCATTGATAATGTGTACTGATAAACTATATTAAATTTTGAGTCCTTTTGGGCAATTGTTAAAATCTGAACTCTTTCCGATTCTTTCTATTTTTTTTAATGTATGAGTACCAAAATAAGATAGAATTTTAAAAGAGCTTTTAGAGTTACCTTTCGAATAATGCAGATGATTATTAACAATGTACAAAATATAGTTTTTTACAACAAATCATTAAATATATACATCAGCCTGCAGCATTTTCATGTAACGAAAGCACTTATTTATTCTGTGACTAAAAATGATTTAGTTTTAATAATAAAAGCTTATTTTAACAATTTTCCAACAAAGTATAACTAAAAGACTACAAATTCCTTACATATATTAAAGAAGGATGATTAATTAAATCTATAAAGTTTAGTAAATGGTTTATTTAGTTATTTAATTTCGAATACAAATTAAATGACTCTGAAAAGTGATTTTAGAGAATGACTTAATTATGATTATATTGAAAAATTTGATATTGGGTTACTGGATGTTTGAAAATAATAAAAAATTAAATATTTCAAAATCAAATTTTTTTCTTGTTATATTTTGTACTAATGACTCGTTTTTAAATACCTTGCTCACTTTTGGATATATTTACAAATTATGACATAAATTGAAATTCAAATTAAAAAAACAAAAGTTATATAAATTTTATCAAAATATTCTTTTATGATAACCATAGGAGAAAGAACTGAGAGTATCAGTGGAAAATAAATAGGTGTTAGGTATCACAACGTCTCCACACACTTTCAGCGAAAGCTAAGAAAGATTGCTGGGAATGTACTGGGATGTGACATTAAGCACTCGGAAGAATGTGTTGCCTCTGATTGTCTCTGACGAAGGTAAATTATTCTTTCAAATCTGGCGTAAGATCATCCAAAATTCTATTTGGTTTAGAAATCTAGCCTCATCGTTTATTGAAATAATAAGACTGTTAAAAATACGAGTAGAAAGATTAAGTCTTTTGGTTTCAAAATCCATCATTATTAGTAATACCTCATTATCTAAAAAATTCAAACGATATTTGAGCAAACACTATAACTCATCAAATTATGTTAGAAATACCAATAAATCTTTATTTGGAAGATTATTTTTGGTCTATTTGATGGTGTAATTATTAAACGTTTTCATTCATTAGTTTGACAAAATCAAGAAAATCAGGTCGGAAGAAGGGAACCAGAAATTAATGCTCAGATTTGACTCAAATACCCAACAAACAAAATTAAATGAAACCGTAGAGTAAAACTGTTATAATATTGAACAAATTAACTACCATTCAGTTGGCATCACAATCAAAATTGTGGCACGTACCACAGACAGTTATAGCACTAATAAATCATTCACTACTATTTTATTTCTTTTAAGTTTCACACTCAATGTAGTCTGTGTCTTTTTTAACATTTCTTTGAGAAATATTAAAAAAAAAGACATATATTTAGTTTTCATACAGGAAAAACAAGAAATAAATACATTTTACATTGAATTTTTGTTTAGTTTAAAGAAAGAATAACTAATTATCATGGTGAAATTTATTTTTCGTGGATTCAGCGCATAATCAACTCAACACGTAAAAGTGCTGATTATATCTGGCGTAAGATTCTTCAAACGTTAATGAATTATATGAAATTTATTTCTTTCAAAAAGCACCTCATCAGCGTGATAATGAACACTTGGACAACTTACCAGTTTAAAAGTTTAATATCTTCCATAAATGAAGAATTTCAATCGAAAGATATTAATGAGGCGTCCATTATTCAACTGTTATCCATGTACAAAAGCAACGAAACAGACTGGGAAATGTTTGCTAAGTTTGATGACGGGAACTACACACGTAACCTCGTCGACGAAGGTAACGGGAAATACAATCTTATGATTTTAGCTTGGAAACCTGGCCAGGGCTCCTGCATCCACGATCACGCTAAATCAAAATGTTTTGTAAAAATCCTCGCTGGAACCCTGCAAGAAATTAGGTAAGAATAGTTGGTTTATCTTCAGCTAGAAGTACGAGATTGGCAGATTTTGGCGAAATATTTATTTGGCGGCAATAATAATTGTGACTATAAACGAAATATAACAAATTTCTGTAATTAGGAAAGAGTATATTTGTCGCCAGCGATGTCCAAATATCGCCAAATCAACGCCGTGAGCCCAATTTAAAATTAATCGAATAGCTCATTTAATAATCCTTAATTAAATTTAAATAAAAGAAGGGGACTAGACTTAATGTACCTCATTGTGCTTAATGCACACATAACTGATTAATCTTTGAAGTATGTTAGGACTGCGTAGTTTAAAAATTCACCGCATTTAATCCACGAAACTTAGGAAAGTATCAGAATTGAGGTGGGGATCGCTGGCACAGCATCTGGTACGAGTGTCATATGCATAGTTTCTGACTGAAACAAAAGTACTTCCCCGTTAAAGTGGCCATCGTGTCTAATCGCCAAAACTGACAAACTTAATTTCCCAATCTTTAATATGTAAATTTCAGATCTGGGCAACAAATAATGCGATGGCCGCTTCAACAATACCGAAAAAAATCTTAACATTTAATAAGAAATTCATATCATAACATTTAATAATAAATAAGAAGTAGTTTCTTATTGCTTATCAAAGCGCCCACCAATACATTCAAAATTAATTTGGTGAAAACTAGACAACAACTATGGCAGCCGTTAAAAGGAGAAAAATCGCATCAATATGCACAGAGAAAATAGCATTTGCTTATTTTTATGGTGACTATTCCGTAATTGCTACTAATAGGGAGTCAAATACAGTGGAACCTTATATCACGAGCGTCTCTCTTCACGAATAATTATTCGGTTCACTAATTAACTATTTGAGCGAAAAAACGTGTTGGATGAGGAATGGTGTGTGGGATTAGGAGCACTCATGTCGGCAACAAATGATTTTCGAAGGTGTTTTGAGCTAGCCTGTGACACGGAATAAACCTCCGCATCTTTTGGAAACATCATTTTAGTATTTACGGTTCTCGTATCTCATTAATAAAGCTTAGCAGCTTTATTAATGAATTAGTGGACCATGAATTTAACTTGGAAGAAATTATGGCCGAATTGACGCAGGCAGAGAGTTTGAAGGGTTTGACATTTAGGATTTTTTGTTATCAACGATAATGTATCTCTAGGCAAACCATGAGCTTGAAAATGAATACTGAATGTACAGAAAAGTTATTAAAAGAACCATAAAAATGAGTCCAACAGAAAAGTTTAGGAAGAACTTCAGGATCAGCAGTAAAAGATGACTATGGATAAAATGTTTTAAGGGGAAGAGAAAGGAAGAAAAGATGATCATAGGCACAAAGTTTTAGGCACAAAGTTTCATGTATAACGATATCACCCTAATAAAGCGGTATCTAAAGTACAGTCATTTTGAATGATAATATCTCACTTCAAACAAATATTTCAAACCTACACCAACAAATCATATTAGATAAATTTTGTATGAAACGGAAGCCGAATGAGTACAGTTAAGTGGTGCAAAGACAAAGAAAAAACACAACAAAATGTCTTAAAAAGCTAATTATCTGTTGTTCCTATAGAAAGGAACTCTTCATCAGAAGGAATAATGTTTCTTACCTTTGTCTTCCTCGTCACTTTCGCTTTATGCCGTCTATTCTCCTTCGTGTAGATACGGTAAAATTAAGGTTCTGTATGTTTTATCCATTTAATATCATGTTCACTTTTAAAATTGTTATTATTATTAGTCTTAAATTTAGTGATTTCTGTTATGTTATGAATATATTTCTATTGTGTTATAAATTTTTGCACGAATTATTGTCGCTAAACTTAGATAAACATTCATCTTCGGCCCAGAAACAGATTAATCTATTTTATATTGATTCCTGTGGGAAAAATAATTTTTGTACACGAGCATTTCAGATGATGGATGGTTTTCAGAAGTGACTTATTCCGTGAACCAAGTTTCTTGTATTTTCTCTCGTCCTGCATATTGCTGTGGCATACGAATTCAAATGTTGACGAACCATTCCTCTTCATCTTTTGTTATGCTATTTGGCTACACCGGAATCGTTTGATTTTCTATATATGTGCTCTGGATATTAAATCTACAAAGTTGAGTTTATGCTTCTTTGCCATATATTGAAAACCGACCTTTTCTAATTCTTCACTCCGCCGAGCATGCCATCAGTCCTAATATATTATATTTTCTTTGAATATCTTTTCCTAATCTTGATCTTTGATCCTCTCCATTTCAGTTTCGGCGCCACGTTTCGGTATTTCGACAAGAAAACGTTTGGTCGTTTGCCTGCAGTTTCTTCTAAAACCCCATCGTTTCTACCAAATTCTGCCCATATTGCCCATTTGATTTAAGAACAGACTTCTGCCAATTAAGAATGTTTTCAAGTTCACCAATTTTACCTTTCCTTCTTTAACCAAAAATAAACAACAAACAGTCCTCGGATGTTTGTTTCAATCAAGTTTTGTATTTTCATTCAATTTTAACTGTCTATTGTACTATCAGGCGGAAGTTACTTTCTCAGCTCAGCAGTACATGATGTGCAAAGCAATGTAGAAAAAAAATTCCGGTATCATGAAACCAATTATCAGAAAGATCGCTTTTTTCTAGAAACTTTTCGCATTAATTCTTCAAATACTTTGTTTCGAAATAAATGATACTTGCGTATTAGCACAACCACCCTCCATTGTTCGACGATTTTTTACCGAAGAAAGTAAATGATGAGTTATAATTGCTAACTTTATTTAGTACATGCCTACATATTATCTTAGTTTTTAATTAGACATTAATCACGAAAACAATCGATTAACTTTCTGAAAAACGAGCTTGGGATTACTTTATTGTGATGAAAATTTCATTGTGATCGCTTTAAGATTGGATTCAAAACAACTGCTGCTTTTAGCGATTTTGCGGCAAAATAATGTAGAGCAACAGTTTTTGGCCGATCAACGGTCGAGTGGTAAAGTCGCTGAATGCTGGTAGTTCGACCCGCGTTGAAATCCCGGCTGGCTGCATGGCGTTATCTTGATTTTCCCAATGTGTAACGTGGATACGAGCCAGTTTCCATTAGAACGTCCTCCACATAGGCATCCGTTTCCTTAGGCAAAGAGCCTTTCTGTGCTTTTCTATAATCAAATAAATCAAACCAAACTTTCAGAAACTTTACCACAGTTTCTTCCGTTGCAGGTAAATTTCATAAAAGCGTATTTTAAAACTCACTTTAAAAGAAATAAAAATATCACGATTTATTTATAAAAATCTTTGGAACTTGAAACAATAAGAAGAATATACATGCAGTGGGTAAAAGAATGTTTTCTTATGAAAATTAAAGTTAATCATTTGACAGAGCCGTGCCAAGATATTTTTTCATCTGAGGCAAAAAGGTAAATGCGCGCCCCTATATATATATATATATATATCAGGTTGCCCGGAAAATAATACAGGTTTTTGCAATTGTTTATCTTTCCTGTACATTTTTAGCAGCAAAATTATTTTGAATTACATTGGTTTATATATCATTTTGAAGCTCTGTTTTCCCGCTATATTTCTATAATAATCATTTTGTTCCAAAATTATTTTCAAAAATATTTACTAGGTGTTTTTGTTTAAATTCAAAACGGGATTTTCTGTAAATTTACTTTATGAGTATAAGCTAGGTCACAGCGCAGCACAAGCTGCTTGAAATTTTAACAAAGTATGGGATGAGAAAAGTGTTAATGAACCTGCAGTTCAACGGTGATATCAAAAGTTTCGTCGTGGAGAATTTGACCTGGAAGACCAAGAGCATCGTGGACGCTCTTCAGCTGTTGATGACTTAAGTTGAAACAAACACGTGCATAACAGTTCGAGAGCTTGGCGCAAGTAAAACAACGATTTCTGATCACTTGAATCGTATAGGAAAGTCAAAGAAGCTCGATAAGTGGGTGCCTCACGAATTGAGGGAAAATTTAAAAAATCGCCGATTTGAAGTGTCGTCTGCTCTTCTTGTTCGCAACAAAAACGACCTTTTTCTTGATCGAATTGTTACGTGCGATGAAAAGTGGATTCTTTCCAACAACTGGCGACATTCAACTTAGTGGTTGGACCTCGGTCAGACTTTCCAAAGCCAAATTTGCACCATAAGAAAATTATGGTGATTGTTTGGTGGTCTGAGGCCGGTCTCGTCCACCACAGCTTTCTAAATCTGGGCGAAACGATTACAGCGGATAAGTACTATCAGCAAATCAACGAAATGCACCAAAAATCGCAACGCATGTGCTCGGCATTGGTCAACAGAAAGCGGCCAGTTCTTCTCCATGACGATGCTCGTCCGCACGTCGTGCAACTGACCCTACAGAAATTGCACGAATTGGGATACGAGACTCTCTCTCTTCCCCCATATTCGCCTGACCTCTCGCCGACCGATTACCACTTTTAAAAACATTTGAATAACATTATGCAGAATAAATGCTTCAGAAATCAAGACGAGGTCAAAAACGCCTTTGACAACTTTATCGCGTTAAGAACTCCAGAATTTTATTCTACCGGCATAAATAAACTTATATCTCGTTGGCAAAAATACATTGATTCAGCTGGGGTTTATTTTGATTAATAAAATTGTTTTTGAGTCGACTTATGATACTTTAAAGATATAGGTTAAAAACCTGCATTATTTTTCGAACAACCTAATATATCAAAATAACTATACTTAAACAAAAGTAAGTGTATTAAAACAAAATATCATTATTCTTATTCTAATTATACCATAATTCTTAAAGTATTTTTAATAGTAGCTTTATAAATTCAGTAAAATAATATAGCCAATTATTTATAAGTTTCAAATGAAAAATGTTAAAAATTCTTTTTTGATAAATAAGAAATATCATCGAAATGCACACTGCATCATTTTCCAGGTTTTATTGCAATTCTTCCTATTGTTTTATTAATTTACGTTTGCCGAAGCTTATTTCCCCTAATAATAACTAACAAATTTAAA